TCAGACGAGATGGACAACGGCACAAACATTGAATGTTATAAAAAAATTGTTTCAGTCTAATGGTCTTGAAAGAATGTCGAGTGCGGGAATCGAATGAATTTCCAAGAATTTACCCAATCTTAAGAATGACGGATATGTCCGAGTGGTTCCGAGTGACTGTTTACAAGTTACAGCTTCTCGTCGAACTGAAACCACTCCGGTTGTATAATGACAACAGGCTTATCAGACCGTACCACTGATTAAATGTCAAGCAAAGGGGAACAATTATTTGAATTGTACTTCGTCTCGGTCAGACATAATTACCCTACCTCACTTGAACACAGGCTCCAACACCAAGGACAAAAGCAAGGTGTTGCGATTGGAGACGTCCGGACACCATAGTTCCGATACTCTTGATATTGTTTTTGAAGGATTGATTCGTCATCGATTTATCAGTTCTGAGTTAGAAATAAGTTTTTGCTGACATATCGAAATTCTCTTGCTAAAGGGTAATACAAAGACACACAAGTGAATAACACCTTTGGATTCAAATTCAAGATTATATTAAGTCCCTTATACCTAAGCGTTTGAAATATTTGAATTTTTGGGGGGCTAGGTAAATATCCGATATACACACAGTCGGGGGATGTAAAAAGGAATATTTCCGTAACATGTTTGTTCTCGGGTTCCTGTGAAGCATACATCTCGTCTTTCTCGTATTCTTGGACGGTATGATAGGGGGTGAGTGCTGAATTATAATAGCGAAGGGTAGTAAGAATTGGCCGGAAGGGCAGGTACTCTATCCACAAAATTCAGTTTCATTCGTAATTCTCAATATTCGAAGAATTGAACATGAAATATTGTAATAAAACCAAAAATTTGTAATTGTAAAGAAAAGAATGTCTCGTGTTATTTAACAAAAACATATTCCCTAATATACATTCGTCATTTTTTTATCAATCTTTATTCGGAAAGCTAAAATTTAATATTAATCACTAAAAAATAACCTCTGACCAAAATAGCACTGCCGTTTAGTGAGATAACTTTCAAGTTTATTAATATATATCGAGTGGTTCAAAGACTATGATAATAGTTATAATCTATGATATATCACATAACAAAACAATCTTTATCTCCAGATCACAACCTATAACAGTATAATACGTGTATGCAAATGTCTGTTGATGAAAGAAGTTGGTTTTTAAATAGACCGCCAAGGTAGGAAGGCATTCTGCCACGTCAGTGACGCTAAGGGAAGGGGTACGAATTACATAATGTGCTAAAACAGGCCCTTTCAAACTTACATAGCGTGGGCAATTCGCGGAAAAAAAGACCAAAATATCTGAATAGGTAATCCATACACAAGTACACGCTCAGTCGAATCTCCAGCACAAGCATCGAACAGCACACAGGTATGTCACAGCATAAATTCTCTCTTTATACAATAAACAAGCTAAACACCCGTTCAGGTTATAAAACATTGACTAATGCACAACGAACATCACGATAATTTAAAGTTTCGATAAGCTAAAAATAACACCAGGACATATTCATTCCCCGAATATATCATGATACGAGCTTTGTTATATGATATTTCCGGGAACTCGTCAGATATATATATATATGTCACCGTGGTCACCACTTTAACTCATTGCAGGTTTGTTCGAGGATCAAAACAGGCCGGATCGTCATCAACACTGCGACATATTTGTTCGTTCTTTTGGGGTCTCAAGTCGGCATATCATTGTACCGTTATGGAATGCCCCTTGAAACTCTATATTTAACGAACGAAATAACAGCTTGGACAGAGGACACTACTTGGATGTAATTTAGGTTTTAACCTTCACGACCGGGGCATAATATTTTTTCTCTCTTTCCTTTGGCATGTAATGAAGGTTGATTGCAAATACGGTTGGTATCATTTCATTTAGTCGACCAATACATTGTTGGCTTTGAATACCTGGCCAGCGCATGTTACACTGTGGATTTTCAATTTGTTGACCAGACACAGAGTCTATGCATGTACTATGTTGAAATACGGTCCGATAACAATGCTATTTTTGTCGCTGGTTTTATTCCTCTGTGTAATTCATGATAATTTAATCTTGATTTGCGACTACCTGCATGTTTTTATTATCAAAATTAGTCATGATTGGGAAAGGTTAGTTATGGAACTAAGTATGTCTGTTGGATGTCTGTTGGCGGTCAAGCATAGCATAATTTGTTTACGCGGAGTCCTTGTTCTCGGGTAAACGTGGGCTGGTAATTATTAGAGGCCAATCAAAGCAGTGTGAGAATAAATACACGTCATTTACATGGAAATTTGAGTTCTAAGGCGTTGACTCACATGTACAGAAATAACGTTGGAACAAAGAAATTAAATTACACTTGATTTTCTAGTCTAAACGATCACATCGTCGTCACATTTCATTAGCGCCAGTGTATGCCACGGATTTTGTGCATTTTCTATCGCGGTCCATACAAACATATTTAATTTCAACCAATCAGGATGAAACTTTGACCGAAAGCAACCAATCAAGATTTAAACATTTTGATATAGATATATAGAACAATATGATTTCGTGGGCTGGGAATGTGTCCAAACGTGATCTACATGTAGGTGTACACGTGCCCGTACGACCAGCTGTTGCTTCATCTTTCCTCAATTTCGTTACGGAAAGGGACTCGAGTATTTTTCAAGTATGACATATCCGTGACGAAACAGATATTGTTCGATACATATTTCCGTCCTTTTGGTGATACATGCGGAAAGAACAAAGCGTTTCTGCTAAACAAAAATTTCCTTCTTCCCTTAGTGCCTGATAACGAGAAATCGACAAACCATGTTGTCCACACAGAACAAGTGGAGAGGATTTCGGAGAGCCAGCATTTCCTGTCTAAATAGTTGATTAACCACGGTCAAATACTGTGATCAGTAGTAATATAACAATAATATCTCCGTTTTGTCGTCTTTCTGTACATGAGAAAATATTATACTAAGCATTCTCTGGTTCATATCTTTGTTCGCGGAATGTAACGCCCGTTTGTTTGTTCTAGACCCATTATCTTGTTTATATCTTCATACTTGTGTTGAAGTAGATTTTCTCTGTCCTCAATTGCTACATCATTTTTTTAGTTAACATTGAACTCCTTCAACCAAGGACGTTCTAAATGAAAACATATATTTAAACCAAGTGAAGAATTTGAAAATGCCATATCCTTGATTGAACAATGGAACCAGGGAATGTTACATTTCAAAACTGATTGTAATACTTCTTGTTTTTAAGGAATGAGACATATATACCTGAAAATAGACGCTACAGCACATGAACGTCTTTGTGTCTTATCTAACGAGCGAAAAAAGACAGAAGAGCAGAGCAGCGAAAGTATAAAGGAACGAGAGATCTTGGAGGGGTCTTGGCACCGACCATTTCTTTGGTCTTTGTTTGGAGTCTATAAGTTGAATATTTTCCATTCAGTTCTTAGTTTGTTTTCTTTACTATAGGAAATTTAACCAATTCCTCTAAAACATGGTGGTAATAATACTTAATTATCAAATCCAAGATGGTCACCCGTTGGCCGTTTTATTTTTCTGATCAGTCCCAAAATCAAAAGGGCACAGCTAGGGCAAAGGAGAACCCAATAAATGAAATCAGAGGACGATCCATCAAGAGCTTAAGAAATAGCAACAACAGTCTTTCATAGTCAAAATATAAGTTTAAAATACAATGGAAATTTGAAAATGATCCATCCAGTACTTAGCGATATCACATTATTTAATGTAAAATTTCAAGATGCTCGCCCGTCGGCCATTTTGTTTTTCGGTTGAACTTCAAGTTGGAACAGTGTACAACTATAGACCAAGGGAACCAACGTGAAATTTAAAAAATACCCATCCAGGAATTCTCCAGCAAAAGCGAAAATATCTTTAAGACAGAAGGAAGGAGGTTAACTAAGGATAAACTATTATTTAAACAGCTCACCATCTAACGAAAAGAAGGGGGTTACAATCATCATATGTCAATTCTGTGACCACTCCCATTTTGATAATACAAACTCCTCTCTTGCTTCACCTACGGCTTTCTGGTAGTTATTGTTGTAGACACCTCTATGTATATACCTATAGGTAACTTTCTGGTAGTTATTGTTGTAGACACCTCTATGTATATACCTATAGGTAACTTTCTGGTAGTTATTGTTGTAGACACCTCTATGTATATACCTATAGGTAACTTTCTGGTAGTTATTGTTGTAGACACCTCTATGTATATACCTATAGGTAACTTTCTGGTAGTTATTGTTGTAGACACCTCTATGTATATACCTATAGGTAACTTTCTGGTAGTTATTGTTGTAGACACCTCTATGTATATACCTATAGGTAACTTTCTGGTAGTTATTGTTGTAGACACCTCTATGTATATACCTATAGGTAACTTTCTGGTAGTTATTGTTGTAGACACCTCTATGTATATACCTATAGGTAACTTTCTGGTAGTTATTGTTGTAGACACCTCTATGTATATACCTATAGGTAACTTTCTGGTAGTTATTGTTGTAGACACCTCTATGTATATACCTATAGGTAACTTTCTGGTAGTTATTGTTGTAGACACCTCTATGTATATACCTATAGGTAACTTTCTGGTATTTATTGTTGTAGACACCTCTATGCAGCTTTCTTGTTATTACTGCAGATACCAAACGTAACCTTCTGGCTTTTTGGATGTTATTATTGATATCATATGCAACTTTCGTGTTGCTATTACTGTAGACCCACATATAAGTAGGTTTTGATACATATCGTTGTAGATATCTATGTAAGATTTCCTACTGTTTCTGTAGTTTTCTATATTCAACTTACTGGTTCTCATTTATTGAGTTGAATATCGCCAGTTCTTTTGTACACAAGTACACAAAGAGGTTAGAGCTTATGAATAAGTGTCTTTAATTAACAGCTGAAGCAGGACAAATTAACACGTGAAAACATATTTAAACAATAAACAACAAGTCTCCAAATATTTATTTTAATGTCTTTACTGTACAAACAGTAAAATAACATGTCAGCCATTTCTGGAAAAATTCTATTTTAGGACACAATATTAAAATACGATGAAATCGAGAAGAATTGTACACAATAAAATATAATATATATACATTTTTTATGAACAAGAAAATGCCCAAACACTCTATTAAAAAGAAGTGACATGATGCACTCCTCTGCTACTCACACACTGTCCATTTACATGTGTTGGGATAACTAGTTCACAGGTATATACAGTATATAAATATACTACCAGCCTTATATACATATACACCATCTTCTCTACACAAATGGCTTACATATACCTCAATGTCCATATAAGTGGTCAAGCTGGTAAGACATACACAGTAACATGGTCAAAATCAGCCATATACAAATTGATCAGAATCTCCCACACTAACATCACTCTGGCTTTGAGCAACTATAAATTCAGTTAACAAGAACAGTTTATCATTGACAACCTTCAATCTGTTTAAATGGCATTTCAATATTGAAACAGAAAATAAATAACTAAATCAGTCAATGTAGGTAGTCAAGTTGTAGTCTGTTACCTATATACTGGTAGTCAATGTGTAGTCTGTCACCCATATACAGGTAATGTGTAGTCTGTTACCCATATACAGGTAGTCAATGTGTAGTCTGTTACTTATATACAGGTAGTCAATGTGTAGTCTGTTACCAATATACAGGTAATCAATGTGTAGCCTGTTACCAATATACAGGTAATGTGTAGTCTGTTACCCATATACAGGTAGTCAATGTGTAGTCTGTTACCCATATACAGGTAGTCAATGTGTAGTCTGTTACCCATATACAGGTAGTCAATGTGTAGTCTGTTACTTATATACAGGTAGTCAATGTGTAGTCTGTTACCCATATACTGGTAGTCAATGTGTTGTCTGTCACCCATATACAGGTAGTCAATGTCTAGTCTGTTACCCATATACAGGTAGTCAATGTGTAGTCTGTTACCCATATACTGGTAGTCAATGTGTTGTCTGTCACCCATATACTGGTAGTCAATGTGTAGTCTGTCACCCATATACAGGTAATGTGTAGTCTGTTACCCATATACTGGTAGTCAATGTGTAGTCTGTCACCCATATACTGGTAGTCAATGTGTAGTCTGTCACCCATATACAGGTAATGTGTAGTCTGTTACGCATATACTGGTAGTCAATGTGTAGTCTGTTACCCATATACAGGTAGTCAATGTGTAGTCTGTTACCCATATACTGGTAGTCAATGTGTTGTCTGTCACCCATATACAAGTTGTTAAAGTGTAGTCTGTTACCCATATACAGGTAGTCAATGTCTAGTCTGTCACCCATATACTGGTAGTCAATGTGTAGTCTGTTACCCATATACTGGTAGTCAATGTGTAGTCTGTTACCCATATACTGGTAGTCAATGTATAGTCTGTCACCCATATACAGGTAGTCAATGTGTAGTCTGTTACCAATATACAGGTAATCAATGTGTAGCCTGTTACCAATATACAGGTAATCAATGTGTAGTATGTCACCCATATACAGGTAGTCAAAGTGTGGTCTGTCACCCATATACAGGTAGTCAATGTCTAGACTGCTACCCATGTACAGGATGGTAGCCAAGGTGTATTCTGTCTAGCAAGAACTGGTAGGTGGTCAATGTCTTTTTTGTCACCAATATATAGGAAGATGGTAAATGTGTAATCTGTCATGCATGAACAGGTAGACTGTCAAGGTCTAATCTGTCACCCATATACTTGTTAGTAGCCAAGATCTAGCCTGCCACTTTTGTGAGGGTAGGTAGTCTAGATCTAGCCTCTACCATGCATACAAAGGTTGGAAATCAAGGTATAGTACTAGTTAGCCATCCATTTACAGATTGTTGCTGGTCCAGGTGTAACAGTTCAGGCTCCTGAGTTAAGGTAGGTGGCCAAGTTGGAGTAATAGTCTAGAAGACTGTCAAATTTGCTAAAGTCAGTAACTAGTCTAATACCAGTCTGTCATCCCTGAATAAGAAGCTAGTCTTTTACAGATTAGACCAGTCTGTCATCCCTGAATAGGAAGCTAGTCTTTTACAGATTAGACCAGTCTTGTCATCCCTGAATACGAAGCTAGTCTTTTACAGGTTAGACCAGTCTTGTCATCCCTGAATACGTAGCTAATCTTTTACAGGTTAGACCAGTCTTGTCACCCCTGAATATGAAGCTAGTCTTTTACAGGTTAGACCAGTTTTGTCATCCTTGAACAGGAAGTTAGTCTTTTACAGCACTAAATGATATCCATTACAATGAAGCCAGCTTTCCTGTTCTTGACAAACAATATCAAAATGGTACGTTAGATGATTAAGGTCTATACCTGTAGAACGTAGGCTTTTCATATGTACGCCTGAAATCTTTGTTGTCAATATTGAGCATACCAGATACAAATGCTCTGATTCCATTCTAAAATATCATGATAGAAAACTGAGGTAAAATGTGGGAGCTCCTGAGATTTGGTGTTGTTGCTCAAGCAAAAACAGACCTTCAATTTACAAAAGCAGGTTCATTTTTCCAAGCATTACCTTAAAAATGATGAAAGTTTTGAATTATGCTGCCATGCAAATAATCTTCACTATATAGTTGTCAAGTCTGCTTTGTACAGCTTTCCTCAAACATGAGTAACATTTGTGTATTGAGCTGACAGTTGTAGAATTATTAAAATCAATTGGAATAGTAGTCATTTTAACTGTTACAATAGTTATGTGTGACGAGGCTTTGTGGATGTGCTTTCTGAAATAATCCTAGAGAAAGATGTCATTATCAAATAGATAATTAGTCTGTTGTAGAATGTAGACTATATATCTAAGGCTGTGCTTCTAATACATGTTCTGTTTGCTTTTTAACAATTGTATAATCTGAAAATGGCATTTTTTCCAATATTTCGTTTGTGTTGTTTCCACTATTGACACCAGAGATGCATAGAATTAATCCTTTTTGGATGTGAGGTGAATTGTGTTTGGTTCACTGAATGGTCCCACTCGACTGTGGACATCTACTGCCCTTACTGCAAAGTGATAGCGGTTGCCCTCCTGGAACTGTGTCAGAGTACATGCCATAGGGAGGGGAAGTGCTTTCACATCACCAACCTAAACGAACAAAGATAAATCACAATTAATTACATCATTATTGGGGAAAATAGTTACTCAATTTCATAAATATGACTATGAGCCCAAGTAAATCTTCATTTGACAAGACTATGATCTTTCGAAAATTTTTAATTTAGGCCAGAACAAATTGAAAGGTGGTTCTTTGGTAAATTTTGGGGGAAAAACAGTAGTGAAAGGGAGGGATTTTTAATTCAATTTCTATCTATGACAGACCTATGGGGAACAGGTCACACCAACACAGTATATCACTTACACCCTTTGTTGAGTATTTTATATAATAACATCAAAGAGATATTTTTCTTATCTGTCATGAAGGATCTATGACCTCGAACTCTAGAATACATGTAGAAACTGTCATTATATTCACAAACTTTTATTTTCTATTTCGATTTTTGTATAACACAAAACTAAGACCAGATATGTCAGTATGACATGAATGCCAACGCAAGGACAAAATTGAAAATGTGAACTGTTTGAAGTCCATGTGGCATAACTCTATTAAATATCATCTCAACCAACCAAACCAAGAACATGACCTGTGTTTTTCCATGACACTTATTTATACCAGATTTCATTTCAAATTGTCTGACTGAGATACTGAGCAGAAGTTATATATTGCATGAAATTTGCTAAGGGCAAGGGGAATAACTCAAAATAAATTCAACCTGTAGTGAATAATCATGAAATTAGTGCAAGTTTAAACTTGATACAGCTTTTATTACTGACATTAAAATTCATTCAATTGTAAAAAACACTTCAGAAGTTAATGCAATGAAGCCTTATTTCAAGGACTGCAATGAGAAACTTGATTTACAAATTTTCACCTCATTTTTATTCATGTTCATTGGACATGGATGTCACACCATATGGAATATTTTACATCATTTCTATACCAGAATAGTATAGGAAAACACCACTGGTAGTAATAGAAAAAACTAATAAACCTGAGATTTCAGTCTTTTAAAAACACGATACATATGCAATTTAAAACATAAGTCCGGTGTAATGTGGTGACTAAAAAATGTATGCTTACTTTAAAACTATGCACCAATTGTCTCTGTTGGTATGGAAGATATGCTATGGAATGGTCTGTAAAGTATGCTGGGAAGACTTTAATTTCAGGCACTGGATAGTCTATGTTACAGAATACTTGGTCTTATGTTGATCCAGTGATGTGAGTTGGTGATTTTACTTTTTGTGCATAATTTGGTAAACTTTGTATTAATAATTCATGGAAAGTTGTATGAATGTCTATGTTCATATCTCCTCACACAATATCTGGTCTGTGAGAGGATACAAAGTTTGACATGTTCTTTCAAAATACATGCAAAATATCCGTTAATTTTATTAAGACATTCTAATGTTATGGTGCAAAACAAAATTGTTAATGGATTCTAAATCAAAGAAGGGCCATAACTCTGGTAAAAATTGAAGAAAAATCATCGAAAATTGAACTTGAATCAGAACTTTAATATTTCAATATATACATGCAAAATATAATTCAATTCTATTGATCAGGCATTCTAAAGTTATGGTGAAAAAACCTAATTTTTCACTGTTTGCAAGTCAAAACAGGGCCTAACTCAGGTAGAAATTGTTGGAAATTAGCAAAAAATCAAACTTGGCCTAGATTTTTAATATTTCAACATACATGCAAAATATTATTTAGTTCAATTGAGGTATCCTAAAGTTATGGTGCAGAAACCAACTCCCGATGGATTGACAGACGTGGGTAACACTATATGTTCCCTATTTTCAATGGTGGGGGCATAAAAATGATAAATATCTGTGAAATACATTATTTGCATATAATTAAAATATCACTGAAACAAACTCATAGAGGCCACATACAGACCAATCAATTTTCAAAATACTATTGCATATTCCAATGCTGCGAATATCACAGGCATTTATTTAAAACATGAATTCACTCAGTTAAATTTCAAGAATTTTCTTCCTGTTTATACTAATATAAAGATAAGTTGTCCATTATAAATGGTCAGGTAAGACAATGCTTTTGTAAGTCTGCTAGAAGAAATAAGTTACAACAGAATATCCAAATTACTTTCCATTTACATACGACATGATAGTGTCATGGAATAATTAATCCTATTTCAACATCCAGACATGTTTTAGCATACCATAAACACTTTCTAATCATCACTGTGCTGTATGACATAATCATATCTGCCAAAGTATGTTTCATCATACAGATGTTTACTTGTGTTCATTTTCCTGGCAATTCCAGCGGCTATGCAACTTAAATTATTTCAAATTGGTGTGGCTTTAATTAGCACGAGAAGAACTCAGGTCATGTGTAGGATTGCAATCAAGACATATCAAAAGTTTACACAAACCTTTTTCCATAGTGCAGTGGTTGGTTGTGAGCTGCCTTCCTGGTAGGCAAACAGTTGGTAGGAGGCCACCTCAGCATGGGGAGTTTGATTCAGTGTCATGTTCCATGACAATACAATACCTACAACAACCAATGTATAATTTGATAAGTATGTCTGGGTTTACCTGGGTTTACATATTAATGTGTGATCCTAGTTTGGATTGATTTGGTAGTACCTGCCTTCACTAAATCTGGAGATTATATATGGTAAAGTGGTCGATAAATTACCTGCCTGACAATAAGTATCTAGATTGTGGGTTAATAATGTATAGCATGAAATTAACTCCCATTGTGTGCGAGTCTAGTGATTAGTATATGAATGACTCACGATGTCTTAAAATGTCTTCACCGACATTCAGTAACTCATGTTAGGATAAAATGGTAATGTATTAAACATGACTAATAATAAAATTTGTTTAGGTTCAGAACCCATTTTCTTCTGCAAGAATATAGTGATATAATATCAGACTTAACTGACACTCACCGAGTTGCTTGTGGGTATAGTGATACTGTGTTCAACCTGACCGATAGTCATTAACTTGAGTTTGCATAGTGTCATTCATAGATATATATTTACCTTGACTGACCCTGGAGATCTTGAGAGTGGGTTTAGGTGGTAAAGGCTTCTGCCCAGGTTTGACTTGGTCAGAAGAGGCTACAGGGAGAGGAGCTGGATGGTGATGTTCTGGAACTTTCTAAAAATACAATCAGTTTGTCTGTTTTTATACAGTTGAAACATTAACATTAAATATATACATATGTAAAGTTACATTTTGCATGTGAAATGTAAACAGAAACATACAATTTTTAAAACAAGAGGCCCATGGGCTATAACATCTGACAATAAAGACCGATAAATGAAAGTGGAAAATAAGCCTAAATAAATTGCTCAACTACTCTACAGCTTACTTAGAGGACATAGATGGTTATCATGACATTTTCTACAAACTTGAAATCATATTCTTTATATATGCACTACACAACTGCCATTCCTTTGGATGTATTGCTTGTTGAAAAAGCAAGCTACAAGCCCAATATCAAGACCCTTGGCCTTTCATTTTTTGAGAAGAAGTTGCTTCAGCATTTCATTATATCTGACCCCTGTGACCTTGAAAGTTGGCCAATGCCATTCATAATAACAAAGTTGGTAGCCCTACATCCTTGCATCTGACAGGCCTATTATCATCTTCCTGGGCCTTTCGGTTAATGATAGGAAGTTGCTTAAGCATTTCAACACACTTGACTCCTGTGACCTTGAAAGTTGATTCAGTATCAGCTAAGGTATGAAAGAGGAGTAGAGTTTTAAAGAAGAAGTTTAGGCACAATGCATGATGCACGATGGATGGCGCATGACAATGGACGAAGCAGCATTGCTATAGGTCATCTTTACCCTTCAAATCAGATGACATAAAATCTTTGACTTTGTTTCACTAAGACAGTTTCTGCAAACTTCTAAACATATTCTTTATATATGCACTACACAAATGCCATGACTACCGAAATACTACTTCCTGGGCATTTTGGTTATTTGGTCATTTAAACATTTTAAGATATTTTACCCCTGTGACCTTGAAGGCACATCAAGGTCATTTGTAACAACAAACAATGTAGCCCTTCATTCTAGCATGCTACAGGCCAAATATCAGCAGCCTAAGCCTTTCAGTTATTGAGAAGAAGTCGTTTAAAAATTTAAACATATTTTGAAGCCCGAGTCTTCTGGCTATTGAGAAGTCATTTGAATGAAAAGTTTATGCATGGTGGACAGCTCATGATGACAATGGCTATAGGTCATCCTGACGATTCAGGTCAGAGGACCTTAAAAAAATGGTGAATGATTATTGTGATCATCCAAACAGTAAATTAAGATATTTTGCTGAGACAGAATGTGTGTTGCAAGTGGGCTTCAACTTCAACCACAGGGCACAAAAATCTCCTATGCAAGCAATTCCTACAAAGAAGCATTGGATTACATTCAAGAGCTTAAAAACATATAGCAAGGCAGACAATCTGAATACTATTGGGCACCCTCAATTTTTGGGCCCTAACAACTACTGTTTCACGAATTACATCCTGTATGTATATAGAATTAAGAAATATGTCATGTCTAATTCTTGACCCTGGACACTGATATTCAACATAAGAATGAGATAAACTTTGTGTACATACCGGTGGAGGTGCAGAGTTGACCGGTGGAACGACCTGTAGTGTTGGAGGGGCAACCTGTAGAGGTGGCGGAGGACGGGTCATTATCTTGACATTTGAGGATGCCACATTCTTGGACAGGTTAGCCCGTTGTATTGGAGGCTGTGTTGAAGCTGCAGCTCGGAGTTGAGGCGGCTGACCTGAAGTTGTAGTCATGATTGGCCGAATTATTTGGTTACTTCCACCAGGACCCTGCATCACAGTGAGCAGACTTCCTGGGCGTATTGCAGGTGAAGTAGAGTTGAACACTATCTGGAAGGTTTGTTGAGGGTTGCGCATTATTTGTGTGCCAGTTGGAGTACTGAGAAGGATTCCTGAATTATTGGCAACTCCATGAGCTTGACTGGGAATAGTCGGGCGGAGAATCGGCTGAGGAACAAGTCCCCCTGGCTGGACGGTGGTTACTGGAATGCCTTGAGGAACACCTGTGACTAGGCTTGTGGGGGCAGCAGGAGTTGTATATCGTTTCATACCTGTATCCTCCTCTCCAGTCAAGTCAACCACATCACCAGGTCGACTTTGACCTGGTGCAGAAATGGTCAAGGTGTTGCTGGGCTTGGCCAGTAGAGGGGGACGTGTCAGCACATTTGGCTGACTGGTGGTTACCAGGACTGGTATAAGACCAGAACCAGGAGTATTGGTCCCTATTAATTTAGTGGCTGGCATTACCATACGCTTATTATCTAAAAGGGTTTTTACAGAGCGATCCATAGGTCCTGCCATCACTGTCTTTGGAAGGGCATTGTTAGCAACATTAGCAGTTGTAGTAAGGCTCTGGAGGAGACAGGGAGAACCAGAGGTCACTGGACTCTGAGATATCTGTATTTTGATAAACAGAAAAAAAAAAAACATATCATAGACAACGGTATGCAGGAGACCTAGATACTATATCAAGGAGAGTCCAAATACTCTCCTTTTTGTCAAAGAATATTTAAAATCAAATATCTTACGACATGTCTATTGTAATTTTCTCTATTAACTATACATTGAAATATTAATGTATATGTTAATACACATAAGAAGTCAAATGTTTTATGTAAATCAGAAAGTTACCTTAGTGACTGTCATAGGCGTAAGTTTAGGAGGCACAGTGTTGGTAGAGAGTACGACACTGGTGTGGGGTGGGGCCAGGATGGGAGTAGTTGCCCCAGTGGTTACCCCAGATGTTGAGCTCTTCACAAGGATGGGCTGGAATGCTCCAACAGAGTTAGTCTTGGTAGGAGTCTTGGATGCTGTCTGGCTACCCTTGGTTGGTGTTGTTTGTTGGCCAAGCTGGTTCATATGGTTTGCCTATAAGTATACAGTACAACTCTTACCACATACATTCTCAGCTTTACGATAATAAATCTCTATTGAAGACCCATAGACAAAAAGAATGTACATATTCTCAGAGCCCTAGTGGAGTTAAAATAAGAAAAATAACCTACCTAATTGCTAGGTTGCTGTGTTTCATCTAAATGTATAATAATACTATACAGCTATATGTAAATTAAAGAGGGGAATCCCTACAATTGGCAAATGGAAAACATACATTTACTTTTATAGAGAAATTGGTGGATTAAGTTCATAACCATTCAAAATACAGAATATGATAACTAGAAAATGTGGAATTTTGCTAAAAGATTACTGGATCATGATATACAATGGATAAATTAAAATAAATTTGTCCTCATTATTCTAATCAAAATAAAAAAACAAATGCAATCAGGCTTTTCATATGGGTATGTTGTCCAATGCTGGAAAAATATATGCGCTTGTATATTTGCTACTTACATGAATCCATATACTGTATTCTAATTCTATGTTATAACCTACTACAATAGTCTTCTGTTATAATTATTAATGTCAATGAGAATAGATGTATCGGGAGTATGCTCTTCATGATGGGACAAAGACACTACAGATGTAAACTGAAATTTTACTTCGAAAAATTGTTCCAACTAGTTTCAAAATCTATTATAGCAGTATTCACTCAAACTAGAAATGTAATATTACTGCCATTTTATTGTTTGAAGTATTAGTAACAATATAAAATACTTTTCATTAGTTCATCAGGAAGTGAAAAAATCTACTTCCTCTGATGTGGATGATTTATTAAAATAATTAACATTTGTACCTTACCTTGTTTTCATCAACTTGAACCGCAACATTTTTTGTACTCAATTCCTAAAACAGAAAGCAGAGTCTAAACCAGTTCAGTAAAGAAGGGAGATAACTGAAAATTTGATTCTCTCCCTTTATGAACTTTCCTTCAAGAACATTTATCTGCTAACTATCTTTACCATCTTAAAGTAGTCTAGAGGGTGACTTACTTACCCTGAGAGCTGCCGTCTTGGCTTTTCTCTTCTCATGTTTTTGTTGCAAAATAGTGACATTCAGGACTTGGCGTTCCAGTTCACGATAGTTGGATTTCCAAAAATCCACATTCTGTGTAAGCTCCTCAACTTTTTCCTGTAATTCCTTGTATTTTTCATCTCTCTCTACTTTCATGTACATCTTTACTTTTGTACGTACAATCTGTTCTAACTCCTGAAATATCAAAGTGTTTCAACAATTACACTCAAAAGGGTTTAATTCCAACTATCAAACATATTTTTCGTATGGAATACCAAAACAATCCGTCATGTTTCATGTTAACTTTCACTTCACCTTAGGGGGAGTAACATCCCAATATCCACCGTTGTATATTCTAAGACCAATAATTAATTTATTAATTTGACTGTGACTGTCCAATAGAATGTGAATCTATGGCATATGATACTGGGGTGGAAGAATTTGTTCATTGCCTGTATTGATGTACACAACTCTTTTTGACTCAAGTGCACAAACTTCGAATATGGAATGTAACTCCTTAGTATTGTCAATAACTGCTATCAACACCTTGTTTTTAATGCTTTATACAATAGTTTAAGCAAATCATGTTTCTCTCTCTTTTTTGCTTTTTCTATTAGTTTACTTGTCCTTCTTCAGGTTTGTATGTAACTGTTAAACCACATCTTTAATATCCTGCCTTTTAATTATGAAGGTCAAAGGTCATCATAAATGTCACAATGTCAGTCACAGTGATCGTCTTCTGGTTCATGACATGCTGTTTTTATGGGATGTATCAGCACAAATTTTACCTTCACAATTGAAGATGAATGTTTTCTTATAAAGCAAAATAAAGTGGAACCACTTCTAATGAAGGTCAGATGACATAATATAACAGTCACGGTGACCTACTCCTGGCAAGTACTGATTGCATAACACCCCATCTTCCCACAATGTATCGAGTCTATTAACACAATAATCTTATAGATTTGATGTGCAATAATACAGCAGACTATAACATGCACACCACATCTGGCCAGTGTGCTAATTCTTATTCTGTTATTCAAGGTACACTCCTCCTAAAATGTAAAAATCCTACAAGCAGGAGATCAGATATGCCCTTATTAAACAAATAAAATGTATAACTATATATTCACTATTACCCAAGCTGAATAATAATAATGAAAACAATGAGTCTTTCTATATGTTTCTCAGTATCTTGAACATTATTTACTATCAGTCCAATCTCCATGTCTAAGTTCTGAATTCTGGGCTTAGATTCATTATATGATTTTGTTTAAATTTTGCTATTAACGTCTTATAAACCATGATCTTATTACAAGCAGCCAATACTTGTGAGAAAGACTGATGCTGGATCCTAGTTACCTACATGTTCATTTGATATCCTTCTAATACTGATAATCTTTGAAACTAGTGACTTACAAATTCTGTCAGCCGTATCCTGCGTCTTTTCACTCTTGCCTTCTTTTTTGGAGAGTCTTGGCTGTCATCTTCATCCTCACTGACAGTGGAGGTGGTGTCCTCAGACTTGACAGATTCTGTCACTTCACTCTCATGTGACTCTTCAATGTCAGACATCTCCTCGTCAGGTTCATCCTTTAGACTATCTGGCTGGATGCCTATTGCTGAACCTAGTTTGCCAATGACCATGTCAAGGCGAGAACGCTTTGGTTGGGCTGATAAACTTGAGCTGTCTGCTGGCCGTTTACGTTCTGTAGATTCAGCAGCTAAAGTACCACTCTCCTCAGATTTAACTTCAATCTTCACATCCTTCTGGCCTTCTACATCCCGTTGACTGCTTTTTGAAGTACTAGAGTTACTACTGGATGAACTAGACTGGCTATTTTCATCCCCATCTACATCCATTTTCACCTCCAACTCTTCCTCCATCTCCTTTTTCACCTCACCTTCTACCTCCTCATTGACACTAATACCATCTTCTTTTCCCTTGGAATCAACCGTTTTTATATCTTTTTCTTTCATAATTTGTGATGTTACATTTTTTCCTTTGACATCTATTTCTACATCATTGTCCCTTACTTTCATATCACCAGATTCATTATCTTTTCCCTCTTGCTTTATTGCTATCATTGAACTGTCACCCTTTTCATCCTTTCCGTCCATCTCCATCTTTTGGGTTTCTTTTTCAGGTGTTTCCTGATTTCTATTTGCCTCTTTGTCTCCATCAGCAGTGTTTGTGACTTTGTCATCATCAGAATCAGAAGCAAGAAGTCGTTCCTCTTCTTCATTGATACCCATTTCTTCCTCTTCTTTTTTATCTGCAATTTCTTCCTCCTTGTCTATTTTGAGTAGCTCCTCCTCTGCCTTCAGTGTGCTACTGCTGTCAGACTTTTTAGCATTTTCATTTTCACACATATTGTCTATATCAATACAAATTGGAGACTTAGAAGAATCCCTGATTGTTGATTGCACATTGTTAGAATTATCACAGGCTTGTGTGGCTTCAGTCTCCTCAGATACATCTGGTTTTACCTCTTCCTTCTGCTCCTCCGCTATCATATTAGAGCTTTCCACACTTTCTTTTTTTGAGTCTTCCTCCAAATCATCCAATAAAATCACATCTTGATCCTTTTTACTACTAGATGTAGACGGTTTTATACTTAGTGCAGTGGAACCAGCAACAAGTTCAACTGAAACATGCAATGCATATTATACATTAGTGTTAATGATAAAGTACAGGTTCCACACAACAACTACTTCCCTGTAAGTAAGTATGATTCCTTCTTTAAACAACAGTAGTTATCAAAAGAAGTCATAACATCCTCTCTCAAGTTTTGCAAATAACCTTCTGGAACAAGTGCCATCATGGTGGAGCACAATGTACTTTTTTCAGTAGGCAAAATCAAATAAAAATTAGAATATAACAATAATAGATAACCAATCAAAACATGATGTCACTTTGATATAAAAACACAACTTATTGTCATAATCAGAATCTTACAAGATCACAAAAATCATATGAAAACTGAGTGATAAAATTTCAACACAAGATTCAAATTCTTTCAAAAAGACAAAGGGGGATGTCACAGGGGAGGTAAATGTGTTCATGAGTGTGCAGCAAAACTTTTTCCAAAAAGTTTTGCGATGTCATTAAGGTATACAATATGCTACCTAAGTGTACCAAGGAAGGCTATCAAGAAAATGAGAGATCTTATAAACAAAGAACAAATGCCTTAAAAAGGGTAATAATTTTACATTTATAATAAAGTTGTTTCTGATTTGTTCTGTTCTTCTCATGAATCCCTGAACTTCACATCATGATCTGAATTATCAGTTTGGAAATGTTTCCTTGAATCATGGAGTGGAGATTTTGGAACATGCTCCTGACAAATGTCCCTAAATCCTATAATGTTAACTGCTTACCGGTTTTGTCAACAGGAATGTCAATAGCATTACTTTGTCAATTTGTGGGACATTTACATCAACACATGTCAAGAATTTGAAAGATAGATGTTTTTTTTTTCCAAGTTCCATTCTTTTTCATAACACTTACCACTTTTTGGGACAGGTTTCTCTATAAGGTCAGTATCACAGTTTAATCCTTTCAAGTTCTCAAATACATTATCACCACTCCCCTTTCCCATTGTTGACATGGCTTTCGCAGCCTGTTCACGCTCAAGTCTTTCTCTCTCCTCTTTCCTTTCACGCGTGTCTAAATCTTTGGTTTTAGCTAGAAGATTCTGTAAACTTGGAGTATTTTCCTGAATTTTGGACATAATATCTTTGAAAGAACTTCGCACTCTGTCATTAATTTCAAATTTACTAGCTTTGGGGTGTTCATATACACTACTGGTTGTTTGCCTAACACCGTCGGCCAAAGAGACAGGAGGCTTTGGCATCAGTGATGCAGGCAAAAGACTTGATGAGGAAGAAGTGCTAGACACAGCTGGTTTTGGGTTAGCATCCGATGATGGACTGTGGTCCAGAATGACAATATCCTCCTCTTTAGTTGCAGTTTTCTTGTCTTCATTGCCAATTTTTGCCTGTCCATTGAGAGCCTTGAGATTAAGAAATGTCTGTGTAAAGTTGAGACTGATGTCTTTGCTGACCCCATTAGTTCCACCATTACAGTCATTGGAGTGTCCGGTGGTACTAGTTGGATTGGAGGAATCCATGTCCTCAGACACTGGCATAGCGCTAGTCACACAATTTGTATTCTTTCCTGCAAGGAAAAAAGTTGCTATAAATTCAGACAATGTTATATACCATAATCCCAGGTCAATAACAGAATTCTTGAAATAGATTGAAAATGAATTTTGATAACAATGATTTTAAAAGCTCTGGATACCACAAGTATTACTGATAAATGCATTTCACAGATGCTACTTGTAAAGTACCTCTAAATGAACTATTTTCATATACAGGCTTACACATGACCTCTGCATTTCTGAGTTCCTAAATAATTCCTGAGCTCCATTAATTAATGGTCTGTGCAATTTTAACATAAATTTTAATTTGTTTCATTCCTTTGAGCGATTTCCTTTTCATTACATGTGCTTTTGACTATCAGTCCATCACTACTAAAATTTTCAATGTTGACAAACATTTTTCACATCATATAAATAGAGACAAATGGTGGAGCTCACTGATATACCCTATTTCCTTATCAGGCAAAATGTAGCTACCTATCATCACTTCTTAAAAGTAGTGGTGAAGAGCACTGGCGCAAAGAATACTGAAGATTCTTGTTCTTTCATTCCAGATACAAGTGCCAATGTCAAGAACAACCTTTCATCCAATAACATTATCGATTAACTTCCATAGTATGATCTGTATAACCATAATAATTATGATTTAATTATGAACTGAATGTGTTGACAGCAGCATGAAACATCTTTTAATCAACTCTTATTTTAAAAGTGGTGGAGCTTGACCTATGACCCAATGAACACCGAATTCTAAGCATGGTGCTGATTTTGTTTATTTTTACACCAGTTGTAAAGTTCATGAGATAAACTATGTTTTTCACTATGACGTTACACATCGAATTCTAATACCCGGTTCAAAAGTTGGTGCGTTTGTTTGTGTGTTTTTTCGTGCACCCGAGGGAGCTCCGTGTATATTGTATTCTACCGTATTGATTAGCCCTGTTAGCTGACGTCTCTGCTGAAGCTACGTGTGCATGTGACTGCCACCCCTCACACCGACCAACCCACAATACTGATCATGAACTTGCCCGTCGCAGTATACGGTAATTATGTAATATCGACGACATTTGAGACCGCAGAGAATGAGGCCACGATACGGCAGGCACTGTACCGACAGTGTTAATCGGAAGTTACGGTGCATACATGTACACACCGCGGCACAACGAACACAAGAGACACTGGATATCTCACACCCAATAAGTGGAGTGTTATTTAAGATAGCGCATATACCGTTCTATACACACTTGTGTACAGAAATAGACGCACTTGCGCACTGAGTGACCGTTTTTGTTTTCGTGAGTTACAACCTATTTACACTATGACATTCACAGACGTTATACAGTCCAGACATTTGCTGATGTTCAACCACCTAACGACAACGTTGCAGCGCCCACAATGATAACAGCATATCTTGGACAGAAACGTGCATTCGTGTACAGTTTAAACACCACGTACATAATGCAACGAACTCGTACGGCGCTGTGCGTACAGTTATGTATCCATACATGCATATATTGTATTGCACAAACGTTCCTACAATACAGAGACGAAGGACTGTAATGACAAATAGAGTAGCACTGTACATCAAACATTCCGTGGTCGACAGCGGAACACCTACACCGTCAACACTACAAAGACATAATATGAAACATCAGCTCGCACGCCTGTACCAACATATGCATATAAGAACTACTTTTGAGTTAGTTCGAGCTTACACAACGGAAAGCGAGGAAAAAGAATACTGACCAACGATTGTTGTGGGTAACAGCAGACACATTACATTCACGCACAAATACCACCCAAAATGCATACGTATATATTTCGCTCCAGTACGTACCGACAGTGGACGGATACGGCATAGTCAAACTGCAAACTGCCTTTTCTGTGGCCGACATCTCGCCCACCTCTCGATCTGCAAAGACATAACCAGTGTTCTTAGCTCGAGAAAACGAGTCAACAAATTGAGCCGTACAGGGGAACTGAAACCTCAACACAAACGTAAAAATCGACGAATTGCCAAGATATGCATTGGGAATGGAAAACTACCGAGAAAAGGTCAATAAAATTTTTTCCCGCACTGTGATTTGGACAGATATCACAGACCAAGGGTAATATCTCCTTAGATTACCACAAGGATTTCCGAGTCTGAACCTTATTAATATCCCGATGGTTGAAATAAATGTCCTCCTCACACAGAGGTGATTGTTTAATTCTCCCCCACACGTTTCTATTGTAAAATATTTGAAGTTCTGATTATTTACATTCCGCCATCATCAATGTCACATTAAATGTATGCAGGTCGAAATGTAAGGAGACGACAAAACGTCTGAGCTGTCGTAAAAATGGGACAAAATAAAGATCACAAATATTTGCATGTATCCCAGACTATTCTACGAGAACAATTATCTTCCTAGTTTTTTCCATGTTTTCTGAAAATTTGTTTGGATACAGTCCGATTAATGACTTGGTATAGTTTAACATTGAGTGAATTTACAGTCGCCGCTATACTGGTTCATCTGCCCGAATATCAGAAGCTGACATCAAAATATTTAGTATTCCATGCTACTAGATCGAATGGGACGGAAGCCCTCATGATATCACGCCAAAACACTCCCCGCCCCCTGCTGCCTGTATCCGAAGGACGGCGGATCGTTGCAATGGAGTACGGAGCAAAGCAGAATTACCACGCAATCATTATTAGTGCTTGTGTTATAGAATACTCCTTGACATTAAGACAAAAATGTTTATCTTCTGCAGCAATTCATCGCAGATTTGGTGTTAATATGACAAATTAAAGTAGCGAAAGTTTCTTTGAATCCTATAATTTGGTCGGAATTCAGTAATAATTTAGGTAAGCTGTGACTCGGAAACCAATCTATCATGATCAGAATATCATACAGCCTTAACACGAGTTCCTACAACAAACGTTAGATAGTGAAACCGGAAGAAACTTGTTTTGCAAACCAAAATTTATCGCGTTTTAGAGCCAAAATCAAAATAATTTTTAATTTGGTTATAACCGGACCTTATATTAGTTACTGTATGTTTCGACTACAGTTTATTTTCGATATCTCATTAGTTTTTTGGTATACTAAAGATGGTGGTGATGTCCTCCATTGTTCTTTTTTGTACTATAACCGAGCTTGTTACTACCCGCAACTGTTCTATATATTACATGTGGCTGGCTTTTGACTCACTTATTGGAGTCACTTATAACACAGCTCAACTTTTGTCCTAATCTGGATACATAAAGGGCAATGTAACAGACACTACTTTTTCAGAATGACAGGTTTGATTAAAACTTGACATGGTCAAAACGAGAAACATACACAAGTTAAATCCAATTTATTCCAAATACAAAAATGTGTAGTTTGTCAACTGATATAAAATGCAATTAGAAAATCGTAAACATGTATACAAAGACTTTTATATTATTCACGAGGTGATAATTCCATGAAAAGGGCATACTTTCAGCATTAATGTTGTGATCTCTGGTGTTTGTAGCTGGCGCTTTTTCATCTTTTTCATTAAACACTTTCACCGTATTGGAGATGACGGAGCTACTTCCCGATATCAATTAAATACACACTGGTTTAATATACATTTAGCGCACTTTTTACGAATCCAATGTGTGTATGGCGAGACATTTCCCATCAGAAAGTGTATTAATCCGATACACAACACACATCGGTATATTCCAACGGCTGAAACTTTTGTTTCTTTGCATATCATATCCTGTTCTATAGGAAAATCATCTTTTCGCGAAGCTGCGTAAATGAGCTTATTAAAGTAACACCCTTAAGGATTTCAACTGATTTAGGATTTAGGAGCACCGTTCACTGGAGAAATACATCCCTCTTGCCACATTTTGTCAACATCCTAATTTGTTGTTTCGTTGAAGATATATTGTTGCATTCAAATCTATTACTTGAAAATGTAGACTGGGTATGGAATGTCCTGTTTCACTGTTGGAAGACACGGGGGCGGGGGAAGCATTCACAAAAGTGAATGAAGCAGACAAAAAGCCTGCTCTGTTTTCTTCACCATATCAATGTCATTCATTACATATAAAACAGCTGAAGGTAACAACACTTTCGGTAAGCTCTTACCTATGTCTATGTTACATGTGATGAATATGTGACATTGATTTGGTTGAACGCACGAAGGAAGAGTTTTTTTTTTCAAAACGAGAACAACTGTAAATCGCACTGAGAAGGATTTAATCTCTTTAACATATATTTGGCTCAGTCTGGTTGAATTCGAAACAAGGACTTACAACTGGTACTTGAATGACACAATATATTGACGATAGTAAAACTTTGCCTAAACTATTTTTTCGTATTTTGTTTTCTTTTAGGATGAATTATTTGAATTAATCTAACTTTTTACGTACCGACATTTTTAACTGTGTAACAAACAGAAATTAGTTAAGTTTACTATAAAAAATCGTTTTGTTGTCGTGGTAGATAACCCGAGTTATGTTTTAAATGGCGTCCCGATGCTCTTTTGTATGATGTTATCTGTAAATGTATACCGGACGATATTTTAAAGTTTTCGTAATACATTACAATTTAATTGACAGAGACAATTTTGTTCCCCTGATAGATGCTAACGCCATTGTATCACTGTATACCTCCAAGGATTTCTACGGTCATTATTCGGAGGCTATATACGTACACTTTTATGTGTTCGGTCGCCCAAAATGATAGCATTTTAAGGTGCAGATGAACGTATACACGTTAGTTGACGGCTAAGTTCGGATTTTATTTACAGTTAATGATAAATAACGATTCAAATAATATTTATATGAAATTAACGAAAACAAATTCATTGTAAGGAAAGATATCGAAAAGGATCGATCGGCTGAGCAAACCACTGGCCTGATGGTACCTGGTATTGCGATGAGTCATAGGTCTACATCGACTCGGTAGCGGATATGTTACGCTAATTGAATAACTAGGTCAAACACTATTAAAATACGCCGGCACAACATGGTACACTATATACGCAATGTTACACAATCTGTACGGGTGACCCGTACAGCAACATTTTGTACAGCACTGCAAGACTGAAACATGTTCCAAGATGCTTCAAATAGCCTAGACTGAATCGATTTTGATTCCTAAACTGTGTGATCACGAACTCTCAAGCTGTCAACTGAGACTTTTTTATATTTCGTTATCGCGGATGTTTTCGAACTTGCGAATATGTTGAGCTCCAGCAAAACGCACGCGCACGACAAATGCAGTTGAGCAAAAATACACGAACACCGCATGCGCAGAAAGAACCAGTTCGCGCCTAGTTGTGCAGCCGGATCAAACCGGTTAAAACTGGTTATCCTCGACAGCTGGGGGTCGTCTCGAAAGTGAAAAATAAAGCAGTATATTTCTTTTTTTCCTTCAAAATGCATATTATTTTCAAATGAACTAGGTTACTTGAAATACCTTGAAATCTATCGTCTTTTAAGAAGTCGGACCTTTCTTTTTGAAACAATTAATCATAACTACCGAAGTACTGTCAACAAAATTGTTGTTTGCGACGAATGATAGTCTGATCCGGATGTATCCACATTGACTGATATTACATGTACTTAGCTAGCTGCATTTGAATTGCCTTTCATCCTATGTTTTGTCTCGTACCAAGCAAGAATCATCTTTCAGTGATGTGGAGACTCATTGACTTGAGCTTTTTTCTACGAGTCGTGCTCAAATTTTGAGACACTGCCAAGAAGACACTGTTCACGAGGTGTTCTGTACTAACTTGGAATGGGAAAATGATCGTACAAAACCAATTGATCTCTTTTTGCTGAAGCCCAAGTGACATCTGTTTCTAGAATTCATTCAAAAGTAGCCAAGCTCTAGGATCACATAAGTTATGCATTAATTACAACATGATCTAGAAAAAAAGCATATTCAAAATAATTTAAATCAATTTAATAGAATCAAGGATAATTAGTACAATGGTAGGCTTATTATAGCAAAAACAACATTGATTTAAACAAAAATTCAAACATTCCAATCTACTAACCCACACTTTATTTGAAATTATGGAACTCCTTAAGGCAAATAACATTTGACGCATATTTTTTCCTGAAATGGTAGATGGATTCAGAAAGAAAAACATTTGCATGCGCCACTTTGGAGACACTTGATCTTATTTCTTTCAAATACAAATACATCATGTTTATTTATCAATAACAGACCATATTACTCTTCATATTTTCTCGACTATTCACCAAATGATAAAACTTGTGAGCAACTGCTGTAATTATTTGAGCTTCCTGCTCATCGACAATTGGCTCTGTATATGATTCCTGTACAATCCTGCTTCATTCATTTCTGTGATTCTTCCATAAGCTAGCCAGCTACATTCCTCCCTTGACTTCAATAAGTTTTTCAACTAAATTCATCAAAAAAAATCTTAGCCATTGAAAAGTTTTCAGCCCTATGAAAATGCAGGACACTGTAGATTTCCTCAACGGGTAATTTTGTTAGACATCCAAAGAAACAGGAGAGGCAAAATGCAATAAATTTTAACCTCTTCAATTTTTAGCAATTATCTGACCGATTTGATCCAATTCTCTGTGAACTAAGCTAACTACCCTATCCACTAATGTTGATTAACATTGTGCATGCAATTAGAGTAATGACAATATACCAACTACACACAATCAATAACTGAAAATTATCATATATACATTACAAATAATCCTAAAATTACATTATAGCAAGTTATGTCACTGACAAAGTCTTAAAGAATGACTGGTGGATTTTCTCACCAAAAACCAACACAAGACTGAGACATGTCAACAAATGGGTACCTTTTGCCATCTCTTTGAGACACCGATATTTCATATTTATGATATCAAGCCATATAATTTTGACCTATTGTGACATATCAGGTGAGGGAAATGAAATTGCCACACTCAAGTAATTTGTAGTGTTGGAACAATTCTAAAATATAGTCAATTATCTTATTGTTCAACCTTACCTAATGCAATGATAGATTGTAATTTTTCATAATCGATCACTGGCACAAAAAATTTTCCTAAGCAAAAACTAAATTTCAAATTATGCATAATAAAGATGCCAATTTCCAAAAATTAATTAATTCTCGGGTTGGTTCTTGGTGAATTTTTGGTGTAAGTTGCTAAAAATAACAATATAACTAGTAAAGCTACAGAGAATGCATTCTAAATATTGAACACACAGCTAATTACACAACTCATTAATTACATCAAAACTGATAATCAATTATGGATCAATTTCCAATGATTTGTCAAAAGCATGACAATGCATTGAAAATTGTAGATAATAGAAGTGCCAACATGACTAAACAAGCATAAATTTTGTGTGGTAATATAAAAAATCTTATTTTTTTTCCATTTGGCACGTCAGTTCAATAAATAACATAATAGTAACACAACCATGCTCAAATTAAGAAATACAAGGTATCTTAACCTGATGCAGAATCAATAACACAACACAAATTAATATTAGGCTAGCATTGCTAAGGGCATCAGAAGCTAGTTATTTTCAAACACACATTTCTTGCACCAGAAATTAAAATGATTTGATTTACATAATTCGTAACATAGTATTGATATATATTTAAGTACAGATGTTTATAAGTTCACATGAACAAGGGGAGATAAGCGTGCAAAGAACAGCAAAAACCTGATGTCGCACTGTCAGGCTATTGACGATAAAGAGGCGTCGAAATAAATTTTAAACTAAAAAGTAAATATCCAGTATGCTATTCGAAAACAATGTAAGGAATACGATGAAAATGTTAAATGAAGCGAATTCCATTCACCTTTTGTCGGTTGGGAGAATGACCAACTGTTTCATATCCTTTTTTCGTTTAATTTCAATTTTTCATCAATTTTTAACCAATACTTTAGAGACCATTTTTGTGTTTCTACATGGTTATCTAAAATTACACTTATTCGACGTAAAGTTTTATCAATATCTGAATTCTAAAATGACAACCCCTTGAGAGCCCCATCACGAAAAACAAAGTCACGTGGTGATAGTACCAGGGATTGGTTCAAAATGTGTTTACGCCGAACAACAAACAAAGATGGAGGTAGAAGACGCTATCATTGAATTGTCCAGGACACCACATAAATCTTTGATAAATATGGCTGGATCAATTATAGAGTACCACATGACCAATATCTCCATGAACAATTGTGGATCCAGCACACGGTACGTAACAGACAGACGTGTTATCATCACACCGGACATCACCAACGCCGACTGGATCACATAACAATAACACATCGTTTGTTATTCATATGAAATATAGAGTAATGTGACTGTTGTTTGAAAATATAACCTACTGCGGATTATTCGTTTGCTGTGTATACTTACGGTATACCAAGGATTATTCTGTTACAGCATTTGCAACGTCTTTGGTCGAGGATATTTTCATTTATGAAAATTCAAGATGGCATCCCGCGCCATGTGTCAATGCGCATGCTTGTTATATAGAAGAAAATTAACATTGCTCTCTGAGCAACCAATAAAATTGAGGTACGTAAGCGCCATCTATTGACCCTTTTAGTTCGGAGCCTTTTTATTCTGACGTACAGGGGAGACAATTTTAACCCCGTCACTCTTTGATTGAATTCATTGGAAGAAAAAAACAAAACAAAAAAAAAATGACAAAAATTTTTTTTAAAAAATTAAAGATGATTATAAACAAATAACGAGAAAAAAGGTTTGAAAAAGTGAATGGTAACTATGTCTTAGTGTTGATTAACTTCAATAAATTGGACCATTGTTCAGACTTGCATGTTTGTTAAGTATAAATCAAATTGTGACTGGTTTTATCAGTCAAGAGGTCAGCTAGCTATCATTCTTCGATGCAATTTTGATTTTAGCAGTTTCCTAACACTTGAAAAATGCCATGATTAAAAGATGATAAACACGACTTTCATACCGACATTAATTTGCAAAAACATTTTGGACCGTTCGAAGAATACACATAGTAGCGTCTTATCAATGCAAATATGGGCTGCACCTTTACCCTGATCTGTACATTGCTAATAAATATTATTGTAAAGAAGAAGTGTTATTCTAGTTTCATTATCGCGGTTTCTGCCATGGCGTATCAGTTCTAACAATATTACATTGCATTGTAAGAAAAGGCTAGTAAATCGGGCGTTATTTGACCTCTCACATATGTGTATTTAATGACGTCACTGAACCATGTACACACATGCACAACGAAATGTTCATGTGTGGGAATCCACGTCACGCATAAATACGACTGCTATTGTGTGTTACCTGTCGCTTGTATACCCTATCTGTGCTGTACATATATGTGTGGGTTGTATGGGAAACGATCAAACATACACAATGGGATATCGTGTTAACCCAATGCGAACGTAACTGTGGACTTTGATATCGAAGACCGTGACCCAACTGTTGATAATTATAGGATAAGCTTAATAGATCTTTGTTTACGGTCGGAAAGGAAACGAAAAAGCCCGGCGATATAATGCAAAGAATTTGTGATTTTTTTTAGCTTTAACGCGAGCTGATAACAATTAAATATTATATTAAATGAACACACACACATATATATGGTGCTATGTTGTCTGATTAGGTGTTCACATTTAGTCACGTGACTGTTGGATACCCAGTCGGCTACCTTTCATTTGATTGGTTGATCGATGACTCGTTGATGTGACACTTTGTTCTTTACATACATTTTGTTTATACGTACGTACATGAGAAAGTATGGCAGGTGTACATGTACCACTTCAAATTAGTCATGTGTTACAGTCCTCAGATACTGTAAGTATCCAGAGATCTCTGAATAGCTAAAATGCCAAAAACACTTCCTGTGGATCTTTATTCACAGCAAATATTGCTAATTGATATCTTTAAAAAAATAACACAAAACTGTTGTTGTTGTTATAAACTTGTCGCATGTAAGGTCGTGGGCTTAAATGACATTTAATCCAATACAGTCAACAGGCCAACGTTATGATAATGACTGCTAGAATGCTTGGTCATACAATGCACCATGTATGACATCGTCCGCCATGTTTGTTTTCCCATTGTGTGATTTCGTTGCCTTTCCATTCAGTGGTCATGTATTTTGTTTGTTCCGATGGTATTCATTTCAGATTGTTAACTATTGTCAGTACTATGTACTGTATCATAAATAATTATATTAACCATGACAACAATATTGGAGAATGTTAACTGAAATTGTTCTCGTCAACTTGCTTGCCTACGTCACAGATAAAGGAAGTAAGCAATATCCTGGAGGATAAGACCTGGATTTATCATTGATAATTTTATTTTCTACCAAATGGGAATACGAAAGCTCAGTTAATAGAATGAACATTACCTACGACAGCCCGAAACTACACACTATATTTATAAAACACCAGTGCGACATTTGCAAAAAAAAAATTAATAATAATGCAAAATAATAAGGAGATCATATGTGTTTTTTCATTTAAAGATTCATTCGTTCAAATGCACATCAACAAATTTTAAAACACAATGTTACCGCGAAATTAAGAACCAAGACCTGCCAACTTGCTGGCCCGACAAGCTACTGCACAAATTCATTTTGACACGACCCCCGCCGACAAAATGTATCGATCGAAGTTGTGGGAGAGAGGGGCACCAATAGGGTTACTACCAAAATGAGTTTACTTCCATCAAGAATGATTATTCGTGTGTTCAGTTAGATCAGGGACGTATAATACAGTAGTATTCGTCCCTGGTTAGATTAAAAGGTGAAACAAAACAGGTTAAACAAAATATCGAAAATTTATAAGTCATGTTAACACGCCATTATGAATTACAGCTTTTAAATGCAGATGCAACATATCACGTCGTCTGCTCGTGGACTTGTGACCTTGACCATAGATGTGGCGCACCAAGATAGGCATATGCAACGACGTCGTTTCTATAGCTACACAATGAACTTGAGGCTCATTTAGGGACACCTACATTTAATGTTCAAAACTAGGTTGTAATTCAAAATTATAGTTTATTTATCCTACTGTTAAAATCATTATTTTGTGTGTCCATGCACTTTAAATGCAAGTTCATGTCGAAGATCTTTTTAAAACGGGGAAACTTTAACGCTTCTCAGAATGTCATTGCAAACGGAATGAAGTGAAGCGGAAATGACTATTAATGAATAACATATGTTCTATTTCACACGAAACATATGAATAGATAATAAATATTTCAACAAAAATGGACAAGTCTTTAAAATGTTTGGGCTTGCTTGAATGCTATTAGGATCCTAAAGGAAATATAATATCTACAAAATATTACATCATTAACTGTAGTCAAACGAACAGGTTAACCTTTAGTAATTGCCTACAAAATGTGACATTACTTATTCGAATTATCAATAAAAGCGGAAATTGATATCATTAAAACAGTTAATTACTAATCTCAGTATTTATTAGAAATGAAAAAGATAAATGAATTAAGAGATATTATTTTGAATTATTGATATCACATTTTGAAGTGGTGACAGATGGTCATCGGTCAATTAAATTCCCAGCACTCGCAATAAAATCCACCCCTTGCCACTTACTTAGAAATCTGAACACCAAACGACAGAAAGCACTGTTTATTTTATTTGACTGGTTTTACGTCCACTATTACGACCTCTCGGTCTTTCAGCGGACGACTGCGCAGAAAATGCGAAATTCACATGCACAACCTACCTTCATATATAGCATGGTTGGACATCCAGCACTATGGCCAAAAGCAAGGAAGAGTTGTTCGAAAGCAGAGAACTTCTATATATCAAAATATACAGTGGATGTAAGTTAGATAAGGGATAAATTTTATAAATCAAGTGTTACAATAGGTACAAGCGAAGTGGAGTGACAAAATATACACACAAAAAGTTATTATGGATGCAACAAAGAGTAAAACACGCACCAAAACGTAGTTTGGGTTCAAGATAGAGTAGAAATGAATTATTTAAACCAAATGTTATAATAAATACAAGCAGAAATCAGGGATAAAATATACTCACAAAAAGTTTCAACGGGTGCAAGTAAGCACAAGAAATATTATACAAAGTTACCACGGGTGTGATCGATGACAGAAAAGTTCAGTACACTACAAGTTACCTTGGGTGCAAGATAGAGATAAATTATATCTACCTAAATTTACAATAGGTGCAAAAGAAGGAGACAATATCAACCCAAAAAATTACAACGAATGCAAGACGACAGAGAAAGTCTATACACCAACGATACAACATATTTACCAAAAGTTTCAATTGGTGCACACAGATATCAGAGAGAAAATGTATACACCAAAATTACCCTGGGTGCAGGTACACATACAGTAATCCAAAACATATAATCTGTACACCAGAAAGCAGAAAATGACTGAAACATTTACCAGGTAGTTTTGTACATGTCTGTGTTCGGCATTCAAATCTCCCTTCGATTCACTCCGTCAGTACGATGGCATAGCGATAAGCTTGACAGGCAATGTGGCCCAGAATGGTGTTCCGAAGCGAAGGCCATGGAAATTTTCAGTTGTACTATATTTTCCAGGATTTCCAACTTAGTCGCCCGTTTAACTTTATTTTCCCGTTCTACAGGGATGGAATGAATTAGTGAACTTTGCGACATTTCCCAAAAATCACTTACAAAGTACTTCTTAGATTGCCGTTTGTCCACCGATGAGCGTCACTAATTTAACATCTTCGACTTCTTCTGGAGAACCCTTCATCCGAATGCAATGAAATTTGTTAAGAAAAATTTCTGAGCCAAAGGTGAATCAAAATTGCACGGGCCTGAGGGGCGAGGCCAAAAATGGTCACAGTAATTAAAATTTAAAAAATCTTCCCAATACCCAAACACGGTAAAATCAAATGCATTTCTTGGATTTAAGTGTCTTCAGGTGCTTTGTAAATTTCACTGCCATTGGGTCTCGCGTTTCCACGTAGAGAGGAGGTAATATTTACTATAGTTAATACAGAGAAATTATATTTTGGAACATGATTTGTTGATTTTTTATTGGAAAAACAGTAGTTGAAACTGGTTAGAATCATTATTATAGGATGCCATTTTGATGGTATGCACATATTGACCATATGCTGATGGGAAGGGTCAAAGGACTGAAATTTCAAAATTCTTCTTCTCAATACCCCGATAAGGTAGATTCAAATACTCCTCATGGATGGAAGTGTCATAAGGTGCTACAACAAAATTGTAAATTTCATAACCTCTGATTCTCACATTTCTCCATGGAGAGGGGGTAACATTTACTACAGTGTATATTTTTGAGCATAATTTGTCAATTTTCTATTGGAAATAGTTCAGACTCGGTTAGAATTGCAAATATAGGATGATAGTTGGATGATATGCACATATTGACCATGACTGACCCCAGGGGTTAATCGGCGGGGCTAAAAGGGTCAAAGTAACAGAAT